TGTTAAGTTCCCCAATCTCCAACCTTTCATCAGATAGGTAACCTACTGTAAGGGCAATATAGTCCCATGTCTAAGACGTTAAGTCGCTTAAGGATGCGAGACAAAGAAAATGAAAAAAATACATCAAGTGTTCAGAGGAGAGATCGTTAAACACCTTTGAGCTCCCTGTTGGTGGCACAGCGGCTAAGAGACGCATTGGTGCAGTCGAATATTCCAAAAGAGGTCGTTCACATAATTGTAGACAAAAAGTGAGCAAGCCAACAGGCGAAATAGTAAACATAAACGACTACTCGCTTATTAAGAGTAGTACAACAGCACGCGCGATTACTAATTCAGGAGTAGTACCCCGGCTTATTGGCGATGCCGAGACAGTAGGTAGAAATAACCAAAAAGAGCAGACAGCAAAAAGACAAGCCTTGTGCATTTTCAGAAGTTATAGAAGTTTGAAGGCAACTTGAGGGATTTTAAGGAGGAAAAACTTTAAGAGACGTACCTTCTGGAACAATACGATCCTGTATCATGCGCTGGGTGGCCTTGTAGATGGTCACAACGTGTTCCCACCGGACACCGCGGAAGGCCGCAGCGTAAGGCGCACCCTCAGGGGAGGCCAGAAAGTTTGGCTCTAGACGCAAAGAAGGGCAAAAATGAGCGACAGCTCAGGTTCTGATTTTAAAAGGGGAAAAACAGAGAAAATAACATGACAAAAAAGGGGTTATACAGGTCTATCTGACTGAATTTTGACTGGTCTTCCTGCTCGAATTTTAACTGGCTCCTTCATCCGGACGGAAGGTGTCGTAGGCTGACGGCAGGCCAATAGGACGTCAGATTGCTTGACATCGATTACTGCTCCGATCACATGAATATTTACATTGGCGAGAGCAAAGTAACAATCGCTTGACACCGACTGTGTATGACTATGTGTGAGTACAAGTTCTTCTACGTACTCTAACGTATACTCAAGGAGTTACGTCACTAGCAGTCCGTCAGACGTGGAGAAATAGTTCGCTCCACAGTTATGACAAGAAATATGATAGACGAGTACACACATGACATCTCAGACAGCACACAAGAGGCACACCAATGAATGAACCGGATTCAATTTTCTCCTGCAACTTCAAGTTGAAGTGGACGGGATCTCCGGAACAGGAACTTGATCCGCCTGACGTTTCGGATTCGTGCTCGACGCCAGCATCAGATATGGATAAGTTGCACGCAGGAGATCGCAGTATTTATGGAAGGAAGCCCCTGTGCTGCCGCATACCGACGAAGATTAACGGCTGTCCCCTCTGCTTTATCGGGAATGGTTGCCCTCTGATACAATAACTGATTGACGGCTGGCACTCACGTGATGATTGCTCGGCCATCTGACCCACCGACACTGGCGTTGGAAACAGTGTTCACCTGTGCGCTCCCTGATTGGCTAACTATTTTGGCCAAACTACATCTTAGCACGGAATATGGGGTGGCCGAGGTCATTGCACTTGTTTATAAACTGGGAGTCCGTGAATCATGACTCAAGCAACTCGCGGCTCACGCTATTGTCACCTCTTGGGAGGATTTCGACCGCATCAAAATTGAACACATGGCGTGGTCCCGTGGAATGGGTCGCGACTTGAGAATTGGCGTCATTTTTCCGCACACTGTTGCGACGTGTTCGACCATTCACACCTGCAGCAGTCTTCGGGGTTCTTCGACCTAGTTACTTTACCCACAACTACGCGGTAACACAGCGACTGCTACTGTTTTCTGATGATGTCTCGGCGACGGATTTCGAAACGGCAGGTAAATAAAAGTCTTATCCCAGCAATCGCATCTTATTCTCCTCAACTCCTTATGTGTTAAGTACCCCTATCAGATGC